AGTGCAAAGAACTATCAAGACGGGACAGTTAGATTTGTGAGCAAAAACTACAAGCAGAATACGGTGACACCCACAACAAAGAATAATACCTCGTTTTGAGGATACGCCTCTGGCAAGGCAAATCTGCGTTCCCCGGTCGGCGGCAGAGCATAAGGAATACCTTTATAGGCTGCATATTTGTTGCCGCTTAGAGATGTGAGAATGCTGCCACGGAATCTGCCAGCTGGTGCCGCGACAACCGGCTGCGTGACATCCTCATTGCTGCTGACAGCCGGCTGCGTGACATCCTCATTGCTGCTGACAGCCAAGCCAAGCAGCAGAGTGTAGCACAGGACACGTTTCAGCATTTCACGTTGGAGTAAATGCCATATAATATATAGGTTAGGTCTCAGAAAGACTCAGCTGTTACAGGGCTACAGCTTCAAACTCACTGTAAAAAAAAAAGAAAGGTGCGTACCTGATAAGGCACTCGTAGTAGTAGTAGATTTAATTATTTTAGTAGTGGTAGTAACAGCAGCAGCAGCATCAGTATCAACAGCACAGTGGTAATAGCAGCAGTAAAAGTAGTAGTGGTGGTAGTCGTGGTGGTAGTCGTCTATGTGCTGACTATTTTGGTGGTAGTAACAGTAGTAACAGTAGTAGCAGTAGTAACAGTGTTAACAGTGGTAACAGTAGTAACAGTAGTAGCAGTAGTAACAGTGTTAACAGTGTTAACAGTAGTAACAGTGTTAACAGTGGTAACAGTAGTAACAGTAGTAGCAGTAGTAACAGTAGTAACAGTAGTAACAGTAGTAACAGTGTTAACAGTGGTAACAGTAGTAACAGTAGTAACAGTAGTAGCAGTAGTAACAGTAGTAGCAGTAGTAACAGTAATAGCATTAGTAACAGTAGTAACAGTAGTAACAGTAGTAACAGTAGTAACAGTAGTTGCAGTAGTAACAGTAGTAGCAGTAGTAACAGTAGTAACAGTAATAGCATTAGTAACAGTAGTAGAAGTAGTAACAGTACAGTAGTAGCAGTAGTAACAGTAGTAACAGTAATAGCAGTAGAAACAGTAGTGGCAGTAGTAACAGTAGTAGCAGTAGTAACAGTAGTAGCATTAGTAACAGTAGTAAAAGTAGTAACAGTAGTGGCAGTAGTAACACTAGTAACAGTAGTAACAGTGGTAACAGTATAAACAGTAGTAGCATTAGTAACAGAAGTAACAGTAGTAGCAGTAGTAACAGTAGTAACAGTAGTAACAGTAGTAGCAGTAGTAACAGTAGTAACAGTAGTAACAGTAGTAGCAGTAGTAACAGTAGTAACAGTAGTAACAGTAGTAACAGTAGTAACAGTAGTAACAGTAGTACCAGTAGTAGCCAGGGCATTTTGTCTGACTTTACGCAATACTCGCGTCTTTGTCAGACATCATTGTATTAGCGATGCTGTAACAGACATTTTGTGCTGAGTACGACCATCTTTTTTTCTTTCTCTAGGAATCAATCCTGGCATTAACAGCATCAGCAGCAGCAGCAGCATCAGCAGCAGCAGCAGCAGCAGCAGCAGCAGCAGCAGCAGTAGTAGTAGTAGTAGTAGTAGTAGTAGTAGTAGTAGAAGTAGTAGTAGTAGTAGTAGTAGTAGTAGCAACAGTAAAAGAAGTGTCTTATATTAGTCTTGTCTTCGTCATAACAGCAGTATTTTTGTTACAAGGCTAGCGTATTTAGTCTTTGAGTTGTAGCGAGATATTATTGCCGTTACTTCCGGATACTGCATATTTTTATTTGTTTAGCACATACAGACACGAAGGTAATAAATATAACGATTAAGTGATCAGATATCTAATAATAAATCCAACATTACATAACCGTTTTCGTTTTCAACTCGATGACACAGAGAAATATTGGCAACGCAGAAATATTTCACTTGGAGCTCTTTCAACGAAGCTTATTTGAAGCAAAATCGAGCAAAAACATGTTCACGGCTAAACGTTGTTACCTTTAACTATGGCATGGCCTATTTATTCACATGTATAGCACGTTGGAGCTGAAGCTTCAAAGTCAGAGGTAAACAAATGGGGGCTACAGTCGTTGTCAACATCGCGGATAAGCTGTGTAATCTTGAAAAGACATCCGGGTGGCTAACTTCTGTATAACTGTCAGCCAAGAAGCACTTGTGTCAAACTTCAGCCTGGCTCTAGTTAGGGTCGTTTAAAAATAGACACGCGTAGTAGTTACACAGGAGTCTCATGAGTATCACTAGACACTGGAACATAGAGGCTGGAGTCCTTATAACCCCAAACATGTTTGTGGGTTTGGGGGTGAGGAGGTTGAGCTACCCCACCCCAGTAATCAACTCTTTGTTGAATGCGACATTTGTTACATAGATGCAGCGATTTCACCTGACTAAAAAACCTATACAGGTAAACCACTCTATAATACGTAGTCTGCATAATAGCCCTAACTATGAATAGTCAGGCAGTGGTTAGAGCGTGTGTTATCAGGGCGTTTTCTGGCTAAAAATAACAAAGCCAGCTTAGGGTCAAGAAAACTGTCTGAGATGATGGCAGAAAATGTCTTATTCACAGAGGAACCTGTCTCGTGTACCTCGATTTCCCCCCTTCTCCTGTAAGATCGAAAGACGCGTCTGTAACCATGTATGGAAATAATCATCTGCTGAACGGCAAGTAAATCAAGTCATATACCGAACATTCAATTACATTTCTGAAGAAATATTTTAAAAGCTTTTCTTTACACGAAATCTTAGCCCCCTTAGACAATTATTGGATGTTAGGGGGCGCTAGGCCGCCGCCCCGCCCTACGTTTAATTACTAGCCTATAGAATCTGTAAGGTGGTCAGGGGCGCCCCGACATTTTCTTACCTAACTAGGGGTGGGCGGCTGAAGGGTTCTGAGCTCCTACGCAGCTTTTGTCTAGATGGTGAGAAGGACGTGGTTGTGGGGGGGGGGAAGGGGTGTTGCCTGGGCGCCCTCTTCAATTCTTACTAAGAAAATTTTTAAAGAGGAGAGGGGCGAGGAGGGAGCTTCTTGAGCCTCCTGATGTTAGTGGTGCGTCAGATAGGAGCTCATCTGTGCACAGACCTGAAGTGTTGTCACTGTCATCTCCGTTAGAAATATTCACAAGCCAGGCTCTATTTTCATGTTCAAATTTGTGTTGTTGCAGACCAAGGCTAGTTTTATATATATATATATGTGTGTGTATGTGTGTGTGTGTGCGTGTGTGTGTGTGTGTGTGTGTGTGTGTGTGTGTGTGTGTGTGTGTGTGAAACATGTGTGTTTGATTAAACTGTCAGAAATATTCAGCACCTTTCCAGATTTTCCCCATCCTAATGTCTAAAACTAACTGTTTATGTCACACCCCCCCCCCCCCACAATTGTTTTGATTATATGGTCAGTGTCAATCAACTGTAATCACAATAATTAGAAACCATATGATAATCTAGAAACACACGCGTATCAACGTAATTGAATTTCTACACACACAAAATATCATTATAGAGTGCCTGTTCGACTGGCTTGGGCCATTTGTGAAGTCCTTGTGTGTGTGTATGTTCGTGTGTGTGTATGTTCGTGTGTGTGTGTGTGTGTGTGTATGTTCGTGTGTTTGTATGTTCGTGTGTGTGTATGTTCGTGTGTGTGTATGTTCGTGTGTGTGTATGTTAGTGTCTTTGTATGTTCGTGGGTGTGTATGTTCGGGTGTTTGTATGTTCGTGTGTGTGTATGTTCGTGTGTGTGTATGTTCGTGTGTGTGTGTATGTTCGTGTGTGTGTGTATGTTCGTGTGTGTGTATCTTCGTGTGTATGTATGTTCGTGTGTGTGTGTATGTTCGTGTGTATGTATGTTCGTGTGTGTGTATGTTCGTGTGTGTGTATGTTCGTGTGTATGTATGTTCGTGTGTTTGTATGTTCGTGTGTATGTTCGTGTATGTGTATCTTCGTGTGTATGTATGTTCGTGTGTGTGTATGTTCGTGTGTATGTATGTTCGTGTGTGTATGTTCGTGTCTGTGTATGTTCGTGTCTGTGTATGTTCGTGTGTTTGTATGTTCGTGTGTATGTATGTTCGTGTGTTTGTATGTTCGTGTGTGTGTATGTTCGTATGTTTGTATGTTCGTGTGTGTGTATGTTCGTGTGTGTGTATGTTCGTTTGTATGTATGTTCGTGTGTTTGTATGTTCGTGTGTGTGTATGTTCGTGTGTGTGTGTGTATGTTCGTGTGTATGTATGTTCGTGTGTGTGTATGTTCGTGTGTGTGTATGTTCGTGTGTATGTATGTTCGTGTGTTTGTATGTTCGTGTGTGTGTATGTTCGTGTATGTGTATCTTCGTGTGTGTGTATGTTCGTTTGTATGTATGTTCGTGTGTTTGTATGTTCGTGTGTGTGTATGTTCGTGTGTATGTATGTTCGTGTGTGTGTATGTTCGTGTGTTTGTATGTTCGCGTATGTGTATGTTCGTGTGTATGTATGTTCGTTTGTTTGTATGTTCGTGTGTGTGTATGTTCGTGTGTGTGTATGTTCGTGTGTATGTATGTTCGTGTGTTTGTATGTTCATGTGTGTGTATGTTCGTGTGTATGTATGTTCGTGTGTATGTATGATCGTGTGTTTGTATGTTCGTGTGCTGACATCATTGCATGCTGCGATAATGGCAGACATCAAAAATCTTCTCTTGATTTCTATTTTTATCATTTCTTTTCCCCAGCTTTTCTCTTCAAACAATTAACCCCCACCCCAACCTTCACCCTCAATCCACTCCACCCCACCCTTACCCTCAATCCACTCCACCCCACATACAAAGATAGTTGCTAACATTTATGATAAATTGTCTTTGGGTCTTAGCCTCTTTGAGGCATCCAGATTTATCGACTGTTCATGGAGTCTGTCACTGTTTTTGTTTTGTGAAACCACGTCTCTTAGACTGACAGAAATTTAATTGCATAATATAATTTAAATTCAACAAAATGTCGATCTGTCCAAACGGATCTAAACACTTTGATCGGGTATTACACCGAAATCCTGCACATGGATTTGTAAAGGTACATTATTAATTGTATCCTCCTCGGTTCTTCTGACAAAGATGGGTTAATCATTGCTCGTAATGCCCCCTGCTAAAGCTGAAGGCACAAAGGTCGTGTGTGTGTATGTGTGTGTGGGGGTGTGTATACGTGTGTGTGTGTATATACGTGTGTGTGTGTGCGCGTATACGTGTGTGTACGTGTGTGTGCGCGCGCGCGTGTGCGCGCGCGCATGTGTGTGTGGTAAGTAGGGGAAACTATCCAGTTATATATCGCGATAAATTGAGAACGGCAGCAATTAGGGAGAACACCCACATGTCCTGTTTCAGGAAGTGAAATGTGGACTATTTCATCATCAGTAAAGAAGAAAATGGGGACTTTTCAGCTGAAATGAGACAGTAATTTGTCCAGTCCTTAGTGATGAGCTTGGAGATTGCTTAAAATAAAAACATAAAACACCATCAATTTGTATCGACCTTTATGCAAAGTATCATTGAAGTTTTCAAAGGCTATGCGGATGAGGATCGCCGTGGAGAGGTCCCAGAAACCGCGTTCAGACATTTGGCCATATTTATGGCCTGCCTATATTGCGGCCCCCGGCAAAAGCCAGGGTGGGGCTTCAAATAAAAAATTTCATCCTGATAAGGACGATAGAGATTAATAAAAAACTAGTCATTGTTAGTTTCGTCCTTTTCAGGACGAAATTTTTTGTCATTTGAAGCCCTACTCTGGCTTTTGCCAGGGGCCGCAATATAGGCAGGCCATAAATATGGCCAAATGTCTGAACGCGGTTTCTGGGACCTCTCCACGGCGATCCTCATCCGCATGGTGGCACTTTGTGTCATCGGGTGTTTATCGCTTGTGTGATGTCCTGGTGGGGTAGAAATTCATTCATTCAAGTTTTCAAAAGTTATTGGTTTTAACTCGAAACATCACTTTCCCTTAAGTGCTATTCATCTGTGAGAGGCGTATGAATGAGTGAGAATGGGGCATTTTGCTAACTCTCTGGAGGCTTTCTTCATTTGAGCAACAGAGAAATCGGCACTAAGATAATCAGTTTGAGAAGTCACCACTGGGCCTTCTGCAATATCAGGCTGCCTACTTCTCACGAGTGCGTGCGTGGGTGTGTGTGTGTGTGTGTGTAATATGGATGTATCTATGTATTATATATGTATGAAGGAATGTGTATGTAATTAGGTGTGTAAGTGAGTGAGCAAATGGATAGGCATGTGTATGTAGGTGTGTGTGTGTGTGTGTGTGTGTGTGTGTGCGCGCGCGCCCGCGCGAGTGAGCCCGTGCATTTTACCACCCATGCTTTTGTGTTTTTTCTTGATATTCATAAAATGAATACTACTATATTATTTATACATGCATTATTGATAAAATACGACTGCTGTGTGAAAGATGGGTATTTGAAAGGGCCGAATGTAAGACGGACCTGCGTGTCCAATTTGTGACCATTTGAAAATAATATTAGTTGGTTGACCGCCAACTCGAGAAGCTGGAGTGCATGCACAATGAAGCTATGCCAGTCGTTCTGGCAGTAAAGGAGGCACACCAGTGTGTACACATTTGATTGGCTGTAAGTGTTTGATAGATACATGTCGTCACGGGCTAACATGTACTTTAAAGTCGCAGAAGACAGGGAACACCTGATTCACGAGGCGGACAACGATAAGGGGCACAGTATGAATTGCTTGTCAGAAACGTGTGTACAACTGAAGAAAACAGGGAGTCGCCGTGGCGGAGCGGCTAGACGTGCGCCGCGGATCATAAGGTCGTGGGTTTGCTCCCTGGCGGAGCCGGACTTTTCTTCAAAAATGACCTTGGCTCCCAGGTCGACCCAGCCTTGAGTGGGTACCGGGTGCAGTCCCGGGAAGAAGAGGCGGCCGGCGTGATGCTGACCACATCACCCATCTTGTGCCGTTGGTCTATAAAAATTTAGGTCTAGCCCTATATGCCCTATACGCCTAAAGGCGTGGAAAGGGGTCCTTTACTTTACTTACTTAACTGAAGAAAACAAGCGGATAGCGAGGATTGGAAGACTATGCCGGCGACAGCAGAAACCTTGCTGATATTGCTGACTGCTGTCAGGAGTGGATAACTGCGAAACAAAAACATCTGCGCGAGAAGCGATCAACGCCAGTTCATGTCTATGTGATATCATCATATAGTCATGTATTCACAGAGGGATCTGTAGTGAGAGAGAACAATAGTGGACATGGTTTCATTGCACGGGAGAATGGCCATTTTTTTTTTAATGCCAAACGTGTAAGGTAACATATCTAGCTTGAGAATGGAGGAGAAAGCAGTAATAGCTTTCCAAAGGCTGTCAAGCAGTACAGCTTTCCAAAGGCTGTCAAGCAGTAACAGCTTTCCAAAGGCTGTCAAGCAGTAACAGCTTTCCAAAGGCTGACAAGCAGTACAGCTTTCCGAAGGCTGTCAAGCAGTAATTGCTTTCCGAGGGCTGTCAAGCAGTACAGCTCAGAATGTTGTAATTATAACAGACTCGTAGAACAAACTCAAGAGCTTGATGCGACGCCGAGAGTGGCTTTCACTGCCTGACAAGACTCACATAAGAAGCATATCCCAGGATATTCTGGTGTGCGCAATAATAAACCAACAGGTAGATTAGTTGCTGCCTCTCCTCTGGGCGGTGAGCTACTGTATGACAAAGTGGGCGTGCTGAAGGGTCTCTGGGATCAAAGATATAGTGCAAGAGAACAGACAGAGCATCAGTGTCAGTACACTCAGCTTGGAGTGAGCACAGGGTGGGGACGATTTTCGACCCGTGTGCGGAAACATGCGAATTGTTAGAATACCGCTTCATCTTCAGTGTGGAAACTCTTTGTTTGCTAAACATCAAATATCAGAGCACATATGGCAAGGTCAGTTCTCGATTCTTTCATTCATTCGTTGAATACGAAACAGAAAATACTCTTGTATAATACTGAATTTACTAAAACAACATGTCTGAGATAACAGTATATCTGATTCTAGAGCTCCTGCTTTTTTAGCAGGGACTTCAGCTCCTTCTTCCACTGAGGCCCGAGTTGATCCCAGATGACATGTCTGTCGCCATATAAGTTCTGACGGACCGATGGCTGTAGAGTGAAGCTCAGATAATTCTTGTTCCTTTGATCATATGGAAGCCAAAGAAGGTTTTTCTGCTTTTGCAGGTAATTATTTGGATTTCTGAAAATAAGTTAAGTATAAATAATATTAATAATATGGAAAGGCTATTAATTACTCATAATGTTAATATTATTGGAAACCAAAGTGTCCCCATTTTGGTTCCAAGGTAGGCTAGGAAAGATGCATATAACGGTGAACACGTCATGGAAACATTCTAGTAAACTCAGTCACAATGAAAGAGACTAGCTAGGAATCGAAGACATGCATCTCTGTTTTCTCTCTCTCTCTCTCTCTCTCTCTCTCTCTCTCTCTCTCTCTCTCTCTCTCTCTCTCTCTCTCTCTCTCTCTCTCTCTCTCTCTCTCTCTCTCTCTCTCTCTCTCTCTCTCTGTCTCTCTCTCTCTCTCTCTTTCTCTCTCTCTCTTTCTCTCTCTCTCTTTCTCTCTCTCTCTCTCTCTCTCTCTCTCTCTCTCTCGGTTCCATTGCTCATCCTTCTAAGTAAGAAGCTCAACAGAGCATGGCGTATGATATCACCAAGTCTAGTTTGAGAATAGAGGTAGAGATGGTCACAAATCAAAGCATGATGAAAAAGGTGGAGACTGGTATGCTTCCTACAGAAGGGTGGCGTTGCTTCAGAGGTCCAGGATACTTAGCATCCTTTGGATGTTTTTTTTTCCCCAGGGCATGCGCGTGTGTTAGGAAACGAAAAGGTGACAGACTTGTTGGCTTTGCGTCACTTTGTGGTAAATGTGTGCATAATAAGCTAGATGTTGTCAAAGCTATTCTGGAGGAAGATAGTGAACGGTGCCTAGGCACACTGAGATTATCACGGTCTGCAGACAGAATTGTGCATCTGGCAGTGACTAGCGGATCTGGCCGACATTCCACACTAATAGGATATACAAGACGCACTTACAATCAAACTGTTATTGCTACCATCGGAGTTAAAACTCCTCACTCTTAAAACTCAACTTAGAAGAAGAAAAAAGTGTTATTGAGAATAAAATAACACAAGAATGAGTTATAAAAACTCGTTTTCCTAGAAAATTGATAGAAGGTTTATGGAATCCTTAACGCAAAAGAACCTTACCCCGTTTTGACGAAACTTGCAATCAGATCAATGAACTCAGATTTCAGCTTCAGGTCGTCTTCAGTGAAATCTCCTTCAATTGTCAAATAGTAAAAGCTTTCAAAAAACTCTTTGGGCACTAAATCAAACAAATAGACCAAATCCATGGCATGAACTGCATACTGCTTTGGAAAGAACTTAGGAACAGGGTCGAAAGACATCAAATAAATATTCTTTCCCGATGACAGTGTCCCGTGGTCCGAACGTTTTCCATACGTATCAAGGAAGTAGTTACTGCGCTGGAGGTAGAAGTAATCCGTGTTGAGAGCGATGACAGCTTTCTCCAAGTCTTCATACGACTTCAAATACTCCAGCAACAGAGATTTCCCCACATGTTCAGGTAACTGCAGAAGTTCAGAGATGCCAGTAATGCTGGATTCTAGAGAGGTAATATTGAGCTTGCCAAACTGTGAATTGATTCGAATGTATCCGTCATGTTTTGTAATACTGACAATATAGTCCCTGTTGAAGAAACCTACAGTATCGAGATACTTGACGTCATTGACCAGCACTGGAATTGGTTTGGGTAGAAAGGCATCACCGGAAGATGGCAGTATAACCATTATTGCAGAAGTGAAAACTATTTCAAATTTGTCGGCAGGCTGTTGCCGCAGACATTGAAGAATATCATCCGCTTCTTCACAACCAACGAGTTCTTGAACAGTCTCTAGCAAGTCAGCTGATTGTTGTGACCGAGTTGGGAATGAAAATGCTGTGCCACTCATTATTATTCC